AGCACCTGATGATCTGAGTTCCTCAGAAGAAGAGCAGTTCATTGAGATGACATCTGACTCAAGCATGAGGCTAACGTTCCCATCACAAACACTTTGTGAATTCTGGCTTGGTGTGGAGAGGGAGTTCCCACTGATAGGTCAGAAAGCTGTTGAAATTTTGCTCCCCTTTGCAACGTCCTATCTCTGTGAAACAGGGTTCTCTGCTGTTGCTTCACTGAAGAGGCGCAAGATTTTTTTATAGGTTTAAAGGGGGGCATGACCAAAAAAGTTTGAGAACCACTGGTCTAAAGTTACCAGACAGTGTTTAAAAAGTGCAGTGCACATGTTTACATATGTTTATTACAGTGACTTTGAATTACCTAAAGTAGTGTGGTAAAGCAACAGATTTGTTTTTATATTTCTGCAATCTACTTTAGTTTGTGTGATTTGTTACTGACTTTCATATTGTTTACACCAGGCTTATTTAAACATAATTATTACATGCTTACGAGGTTGGAAGTTCAACAAATCAGTTAATGTACTGTGATTGTAGTTGTTAAATAAAAATGTCATTCATATCAATTCATGCATCACCTAATTTCATCGTAACATATAGGCCTGGCCTACAGAAAAGAACATTTATGTTTAATCTATCTAATAGTGTGTTGGTCACGGCAGTTAAGCCCTACGTTAAATGATGTTTTGTCTGAAGTTGTTATCGCGGTCAACTACATAAAAACAAGACCACTGAAATCACGACTTTTTTCCGCGCTCTGTGAGGAGATGGGCGCCGATCACACTGCTGTGCTGTTTCACAGTGAAGCGAGATGGCTCTCCCGTGGCAAAGTGCTGTCCAGAGTGTTTGAGCTCAGGGAGCAAATTCAAATTCTTCTGCAAGAAGAAGGCATGAACGAGCTTGCCAGCAAATTTGGTAATGAACAATTTCTAATGAAGCTGGCATATCTCAGTGACATTTTCTCCAAGTTTAATCAACCGAACCTCCAGCTGCAGGGCAAAGATAAATACCTACCACATCTGGCAGACCAAGTCAGTTCATTCATCCGAAAACTGGAGATGTGGGGCAGGAAACTCGAGCAAGGAAATACAGAGTCTTTTGAAAATCTAACAACCTTTTCCAAAACTAACAAGCTCACCGAAAGCACAGTGATCCCATGTATTTTGGAACACATTTCTGCTCTGAGAGGTCATTTTCAGAAATACTTCCCTGACAACAGTGTGCAGTTCGACTGGGTGAGAGATCCATTCACTGCTCCAGCACCTGATGATCTGAGTTCCTCAGAAGAAGAGCAGTTCATTGAGATGACATCTGACTCAAGCATGAGGCTAACGTTCCCATCACAAACACTTTGTGAATTCTGGCTTGGTGTGGAGAGGGAGTTCCCACTGATAGGTCAGAAAGCTGTTGAAATTTTGCTCCCCTTTGCAACGTCCTATCTCTGTGAAACAGGGTTCTCTGCTGTTGCTTCACTGAAGAGGCGCAAGATTTTTTTATAGGTTTAAAGGGGGGCATGACCAAAAAAGTTTGAGAACCACTGTCTTAGACAGTGATGAGATTAAATGGAGAAAAAGAGATCTTAAGTGTGTCAAACTGTGCTCAGATTTGTAGTCTGAAATCAAAAGTCAAGAGTTTTTAAAATGAACTCAAACAAATCTTGTCAAAGTCAGTTATTATGTGAAAAATTGTCCTCTGTATGCCACCAGTATTTGACTGGTCAGAAGTTTGGAATGATTATGATTTTTTTTTTAATGTTTTTGAAACAAATATCTTGTGCTTACTAAGGCTGCATTTATTTGATGAAAAATGTCGTAAAACTGTAAAATTGTGAAATATTATTACAATTTATAATAGCTGTTTTATATTTCAACAGATTTTAACATGTAATTTATTTCTGTGATGCAAAGTTGACTTTTCAGCATCATTACTCCAGTTTTCAGTGTGACATGATCCTTCAGAACTCATTCTAATATGCTGATTTGGTTAAGTTTTGAGCTTTGAACAATGTTCAAAAGAATAGCATTTATTTGAAATAGGAATAATTTGTAGCAGTTTAAAAGTCTGAAAATGTTTTGAAAATCTTAGTGACACCAAACTATTGCATGCTAGTGCATAATTTTTTCTTGATATATAAAAGAAGTGTGTATTTCTCTGAACAATCTAGGGTTTTTATATAATAGGATTTTGGATTAACTGCATTTTTGTTTACTCCTTTTTTGCAAGTTGCTTTGGATAAATATGCATAAATCTGCTAAATAAATAAATGTACTGTACGTGTGATGTCTTTTGAAGCCATACAATAGTCTTATGTGGTGAACGAACCAAAATTTAAGTTCTTATTCATTGAAAATCATAAGCACAATTCATTTAGACAATTTTTTCCAGGTGCTTTTTGACAGCCCCTGGTCTTTATATTTTGTCTTTGTATAGAAAAGAGCAGCAACAGCATTCTGTGTAACGTTACACAAAATCTAGAGAGACAGAATTTGGTTGAACTGTTTCTTTAAGTTCTGCTTCACCTCCATCTCTCCCCCGTTCCTGCACGCTGCTCTCTATCCTCACCTAATCTAATGAACATGGAGCTGGGGAGGTGTCTGCATGCCTACGCCTCTGAGACGCCACGCATAATTGTTTATTTCTGTCTCTGCTGGCACCTAAGCTCATGTGTGAGAGGTGAATGGTCTGTCATACTCTTAATGAGCTCAACCCACTAAAGTCAACCATGCTCTGCCCGTTAGAGGAAACCATTTGCATTAACGAACAGAAAGAAAACACACACATCGCCTCACCTACCAATTACTGCTACAACCGACTACGGCGAGATCTCTTTGTGCATGTTTTGCATGTTTGTGTTTGCCCTTTGAGCATGTTTTTATGCATACAATGACCTTGAAATTCTGGAAATGTACTGTGAGTTAAATGCATTCTCTGTGTGTTTGAGAGTCTGGGCTTGTAATGCATGAATATATATTCAGGTGAGCAGATATTCTTATGGAGCGCTGCTTGACATTGTCCTAATGATGTCGTGTCACCCGGCGTCTACTGTGGCCCCACAGCCAATTAGCACAGACAGAGAGACTGTTTTACACACACAAGACAAATCAAATTACCCATCTGCCCTCATCCCTTGATCCCGTTCAGCCTCTGTTATTTATGATTCAGAGTCACTCGTTCATTTGGGCATCGTGGGAGCGGGAGTGATGCTGTACGTGTGTGTGTGTGTGTGTGTGTGTGTGTAAAAGCACACAGGTCAAGAGTGTGTGCACTTAGCAAAGTATGCTATCTTCACCTGGTTAAGTGTGTGAACCAATCTAGGAAGTGTTTTTTAGGCTGAATACAAAATCATGTTGAAATGATAATACAATCTAAGAAAAAAGTACAAAACTGTCACTGGGGCGGTACCCTTTCAAAAGGTTCAATCAACCTGAATTCACCTACTAATTGTACATTTTAGGTGCTAATATGTACTTTTAAAATACTAATATGTACTATTTAGGGGTAAATACGGAGAAAATATTAGCTTTTATCTTTATATTTTTTTCATACTATTTTTCATTTATTGTTTTATTTATTGTTTAAATATTACTATTGTTATTTTTTTTACAGTTTTAGTTCAGTTTTTTATTTTTTTTATTTTATAATTTTTTTATTTATTAGTAATTTAAGTGCTTAAACTATTTCAGTTTTCCATCTAGTTAACAATAATAGCCCTGGCATCCATACTCTTTCCTGTGTCCATAAAAGCTCTCCAACTTGTGTCCATATGCAAAAGTTCTCCTAAACTTAAAGCTAAAATACAGAGCCATTCTGCAAAGTTTCAGAGTATGTAAATTGCTTCAGATCTGTTTTAAGGGGCTGTGGGTGGATTAAATGTATTGAGACGCTGTGTTCATTTTTGCTAATTTATAAATTTCAATCACTTGTGCGTTAGTCCGCCAGTTGGGGTTCAGAGGTGTGTGTTTGTCTGGGGAGGGGGTAATTCTGTAAACTCTAGTTAGACTGAACGTGGCTTTGACATGGATCTGATTAGGTCTCTGCAGTGAGCTTCAGAGCTGCTGTAATTAAGCTGTCAGTCAAACACAGCTTACATGGGAAGGAAATAAATACCAGCAAAGAATGTGGGAGGAACCTTATTATTTTGATTTTATAGGCCGATTTGCTATTCTTTTGTTCTTCCTGTACAAATGTTTGATATAGTACTGTGTTATTTTTAATGTGCTATGTAGTGCAAAAACGTTTAATTGTGACTTGGGTCTTGTGTCATTCAGAATTCAGAATCATATTGAGAATGGTGTTCAAACTCCAGTTCAGTTCCTGCTGTTCCAAGCTGCAGAATTGACCTTTCGCTTGGGAGCTTGATTGACAGGCGATCTGACCAATCATAACGCCGAATCCACTATTTTGTCCGACAAACCAGACAGGAGAGTAGATTAATGTTGGTGTACTTGAACTTGAAAAATGGTGCGTATTGACGTTTTTCCGCGTTTTAAATAAAATACCTTCTGATGATCATTCATGTTTATTTCGTGGTTTAAGTACCTATGAAAAGATGTTCAGTTCATGTGCCGCTTGAACTGAGGCGCTACAGCGATCTGTCACGACACATTAAAGAGCCACAAAACTGTATTTATTGTTTGAATTTCTCAAAAAATGACAAAATTTGAAAGCTAAGACTTTGTTTCATATGAGAAGTAACCTGCTCCGTCTTGTCTGTCGGCATGTTTGTCAGATTTCTCTTTGCTCCGTGATGTATTTTGTGTGTTGATGTGAGAACATGATGTGTGGCATGAGAGCGGCATGGCTTGTCGAACATAGCAACAGTAACTGGGGGCGGTCTTTGTGAAGGGTCTTTTGTAGTTTGTATTTATGGATGTACTTTTAAAGAAGTGTAGTTCTTAATATTATCTCTTATTTTTCCTTAAATGTTAGATGATATGAACAAATAAATGTTAGGAATGTTTTTTTTTTTTCTATTAAGATTTTTCTTTGTGTTTTTCTTGGTCAGGTGGTGTTCGAAGGTATCCGTGGAAACGGCTTTGAGGGAGACATCGCTATCGATGACGTTTCTGTTACCAAGGGGAAATGCAAACAAAAGGAGAGCGTGGACAAAACAGGTCTGTACGATCAGTGACAGCACAAAAACACACCTCTCAGCCTTGATGCTTCAGTAATGAACTTCATTATATCCCTTCATGTAGATGTAGGTGACTAAAAGCCCACATTACCCGTCAACGTTCAGATTGTTTTGTTTCGTGAGTCTTAAAGCAAAGGAAAAGACAAAAACCTGTGAGTAATGAAACAGCACTGAGAACTGACCTTAAACCAATCTTATTTAATCATCCTTATGTTTTTCCAAGACTTACTTTCTTCTGTTGAACACAAATGGAGAACATTTAAAGTATTGTTTTGGTCACTCTATTCCATGCACTTCAAAAGAGTGGGGACTTTGTTTTAAGTTCAAAAAGGGTGAAAAAGTATCATAAATGTATATAAGTAATCCATACAATGCAAAGTTTGAAGTCATACAAATCTATACTCTCTAGCTCTTCTTGGTAAACATTCATGAGAAAAGTGATGCCTGGTTTGTGAAAAAAAGAGAACAAATTATTTAGACAAAATCTAAAACTCAGACACGATTCAGAAGCCCAAACGAAGCTAATATGGCTGATATTTATCTAGCCAAAAGTCAATTAGATTCTTTTATAATAGTCGTTTTTTTTTTAAATATATTATAGCAGACTAAGTTACTTACATAAAATGCATATAGATATCAGTTGTCTCTCTATATCTCACAATAATATGTCTTAGTAAAATTATATTTAAATGCTTAGTTTTATGATCAAAGCTCTGTAGTTTTTATTGTGGGGGCAAAACATATAATGCAATGCAGTACAATGATTTAGAGATAAACCAACTTTCCTCAAAAATATGATGTATCATATCTGATACTCACATTTTACCTTGATTTGTTTGATACATTATGTATAGACAATCAAGTAAATCCAAGTTCCTTCAGTCCAGTAACTGTTCATCTTGAAATATTACTTAAAATATAAAAGTTTACTTTATAAAAAATCAGTAAAGATGTCACAGCAAAAAGACACATGTACCACAACCTGAAGGTGGGCATTTTAAAATTATACTAAAAGGCCTTTTATTTGCTAAAAAGGTATGAACTCAACTCTCAGTCTGACAAGAGAAGGCATGTAGTAGATTGTGTACAACAGGCTTTTCAGCAGAGGTTTGATCATGATGATAATTCATAGAGTTTTAGAAATTTGCATATCAAATATGCTACTGCAGGCTTTATAGGGTTTAGAGTTCACTGGAGGTGAAAATAATGACTAAAATAATTATATTTAAATCTTGACTTCGGAAGACTTGGAAGCACAAATCAACTCTTTTTATGATCTTTTATGGTGCTTTTTCGTTCTTCTTTGAGCTTTTAATAATACAGACAGAATATCAAACGGTTTGAAAAATGACATGAGGGTGAGTAAATGATGACAGAATTTGAATTATTCCTTTAACTCCATTACAACAGGAAGGTTTTAGAGATGAACTGTCAGTGAGTAAGATGTGCCAGGACTGTGCGCGTGCAGGAGAGATGCCGCACCATTGTGGGGTTGCTGATGGTGGAGGCAGCAGCTGTAGTGGGCTGCAGGGGATTGGGCCCGGGGCCCAGCTCTGACAGCTCTGGCTTCTTCTCACCTCGTGCAGCCCTCTGAAGGTGCGGCAGGCCTCGGGTCTCCTCCTGAATGCTGATCTTGGCACATGATGGGTGTGAATGCATGCACACAGACAGGAAAAGGCCCAGCGCCAGACTCTTGAGAGACAGAGAGAGAGACAGGGCAGTTGTCCAGAACACCATCCCCCTCAAAACCCACCAGATGAATTGATAAAATATCATTCTCATTACTGTAATGCAGGAAGATATATGGTTTAATCTATGCTTTAAAAATGCATATTATGGTTGATTAATCATGTTATCAATATTTGCTTCTGAATGGACATACAGTACTGATCAAGTTTGTTTTAATGTTTTTGAAAGAATTCTTTTTATCTCACCAAAGCTGCATTTATTTCATCAAAAATACGGTACAAAAGAGGAATAATGTGAAATGTTATTACAATTTAAAATAACTATTTTCTATTTGAATATATTTTAAAATGTAATTTATTTCTCTCTTTTTTGTGATCAACATTTTATTTGAGTTTAATTTCCATATCAAGGACATAGTCAAAACCATTTGTCCATAAATATAAATAAATAATATAATATAATATAATACAAATAAATAAATAAATAAATTACACATTCGCGCACATATACACAACTTAGGTCAACACACTCACAATGTCAACGTTTCAGCTTATCTAATAAAATTTCTGCAATTATTGGCAATATAATTTATTTCTGTGATACAAAGCTGAATTTTCAGCTTTATTACTCCAGTTTTTTGTCACTTTTTGACCAATTTATTGTGTCCTTTCTAAAGTATTAATTTCTTTCAGAAAAAAGGGAGGGGGAAACTACTTATGATACTAACTTTTGAACAGCAGTGTAATTGAAATACATTATATTATTGTGGCATTGTATTTCTATTATTGTATTTCCATATAATCGAACATGACTATATGACTTTTTTCAATTCAATTCAAGTTTATTTGTATATCGCTTTTCACGATACAAATCGTTGCAAAGCAACTTTACAGAAAATTAAGTTTCTACAATATTTTTTTAAACAAAGCTGGAAACTTTTTTTGTAAAAAAAAAAAAAAAAAAAAAAAAAAAAAAAAAAAAAAAAAAAAAACTTATTTGTTCTATAATAAATAAACAATCAAAAAAAAATTGCTGGCAGTGGGTGGAAACTTAAAAAAAAAAAAAAAAAAAAAAAGAAGAAGAAAAAGAAAAAAATACTGTTTCTTATTATTTATTATTTTTATTTTTTTTATTTATTTATTTTTCAAATATGACCTGGACATATTTTAAATAGATTCACCCAAAAAAATGTTATTTTATTATTTTTTTACTGTGAGGCCTAATGCTGACTGACTGTCTCACAATGTTTCACTGACATAAAGTCTATGAAGATAGAAGGAAACACTTCTTCTGTACGATGGATAAATATAGACTACATCACTGCTGCCGTTATTTCACAAAAAATGAAAGCTTTTGTGGAAACAGTTTAAGTGAAAATTAAAAAAAAAATAGCTTATTTTTATTTTATTTTATTTTTTATTATGAGCTAGGGAAGAAAACTACCAGCCACCTCAAGCGTCATCTGCAATGTTCCAAAGCATACATCAAAACCACATTCAGTGTCCATGGCAGCAGCTCCTTGTCAGCTAACCCTGCCTGAAGATACAGACACTCCAGCAGAGAGAAGCTCTCCCTGGTACCAGAAAAAATTATGAAACTTCAACATTGCCCTTTACACAACATTATGCTTATTATATCTACAGAGACATGCAGCAAGTCAAAAACAATATATATGTGAAATATCAATATAAATGTAAAGTAAAGATAAATATGAAGAGTAGTATATGAGCAAATAAGAATATATGAATACGACTAGATGATTATATATAGATAATGAATTAAATTAAAATACTATAAAGATATTTATAGTAAAAATAAACACTGTAAAACACAATAAAACACTGTTCATTTGGCCTTCCTTCCAGAGAGCAAAAATACAATGTCCATGGTTACTCTAGGCATGAGACAGATCCACAACAATCATCCTCAGAAACTATAAGATATACAATTATCAAAGAATTATTTAGATCTGGACAAGAACAATTCATGAAAAATAAAATAAAAAATAATATATACTATTACAACCAGTAACCGTCCTTAAAAATGACCTCACATGCACAGTGCTTCATGTCACACAGTCTTGTATAGAATAATTTCTTGAGTCAAAGACCTGAATCCCCATCACATTTTCAGGGCATAGTGATTTTTGATAGATTGAAGATTTGACCTTCTTGTTCTGAATATTAAAAATGGCAAAACCTTTATTCTTACTCGGTGAAACCTGTCAAGAACATGTCCTGGTCATATTTCATACCAAAAAGACATAAAATATTACATTTTGCTTAAAGAAAATGAAGCCAGTTTTTTAGGACTATTCAATATTTGTGTGTGTGTGCGTGACATAGTGACATTATGACAATAATGCGCATTTCACCTTCTAGTTCATATTGCCATAATGGAAAACATCTCATTATTTTTAGTATAATGTGAAAAATAATGCTATATTATTTAAATGTTACACTGGTTAATATAGATAATAAAACAAACTCTCAAAAGTAAAATATGTGGTTTCATTACAGTAATAAAAATAAGCTTATATATTTCAGGGATATATGTTGAAGGAAAATATTTAATTTTTGTAATTCTGTTTGGTTGAGAATTTTTTTTATTGAATTACAGAGTTCGCTAAATGATCTTAAATTATTATCATACAAATTCAGAAGAGTTTTATCTAATTAGGTTTCCTTTTAACTGCTTAATTTGCCAGATGGTCTCACATTTCAAAGCCACATCTCAATTCTTTAAGTCACATATTATGCAATGTCATTTTTGAAATAAACAGCTAGGATTTAGCAAATTAACTTTTTTTTTTTTTTTTTTTTGATACACCAGCTGTTAACCCTGACGTTTATACCACACAGTGAACAAACTGTGTAGTTTGCTTTTTATTAGCATTATTTCTATGGTATTTTTTTTTTTTACCTTAAATGGGTAGTAGACATTCAGGAGTGTAGGAACTATCTGAAGAGTTGAGGAAACACAATGTAAACCTTGTCATCATGAATATTAATTAGGAGGTGTAACATCATCTCAGCTAATTTGCTGAAAGGCATGTAAGCAAGCATCAGGTCTATAAAATGGTTCAGCCAACTTTTAACACTGTTGTTTGGCTGTTTGGTTTTAATGCAAGTTGCGGGTTTTTTTTCTCTTGCTGCCAAACAAAACAAAACAATTATCTCCCAAATTGGAAAATGACCCGAAACAGATTCACCCGCATATACAGGCACCACTGTGCGATGTGCCAAAGCATGTGCACTGCCCGCAAGGCATTAGTTTCTTCTGACAGTAACACGTACGGACATTTTCATATACCAATCCACATAGCTCCTACTGCTCCAGCCTGATCATTTTTTTTTCAATTCAATTTTAAATTGTTAAACACCTCAGGAAGCTGTCATGGTAAAGTGAAAAAAAAAAAAACTCCATTATTATTTCAAGTTCTAATATAATCTTATACATTAGTCTCTGGAAGAGTACAGCTCTGCTCTCTCCTCTGTACCTGGGTCGGCATGAACACTGGTGTTATATCACACACACACTCACACACACACACACACACACACACACACGGCCCACACAGTAAAACCTGTTCATGCCGCCCACAGGTGCTGAGCTGTGCTTACACACAGAAAAGTGTAACGTGAGCAGCGTGCGGTGCACCGCAGGGCAGAACAAAAGAGCCAAATTAATGATTAAGATCAGTCATTGTGAAAGCTCCCTCACAGAGAGAATATTCCAGCTCTCAACCGCACGGATTGCTGATAGCTGTTGTTTGTTTGGGGAAAGTTGTGGGTATGTGTTAGCTATGTATGTTAGCTTGCAGGCTCTGTCTCTGACCCATGAGGCTTTGCTATAGAGGATATGTGCATTCATCAATGAAACTCCTCTCCTCTTTGATTCTTTGATGTTTTTCAGGGTCTTTCCTGTTATGCAGTACATTTGGAACTCTGTGGGTTTAACAGACTTTCAGAAGTCTGTGGTTAAGCTGGAAAACTTTCAACAGGTTGATTATTTACACGATTAATAGGAAGGATGCCTAAAAAGATGGGCATAAAGTGCTACAATTAGCTGTGCATAAGTTCATTATTTTTTTTTTTTTAATAGTCTATCTTACCAATTTCTGAGATTTCACTCAGTAAGTGTGAAATATTTTAAAGTGAGACAAACCAGCTAAAGCCACAAAACCAGAATTTGTCAAATTTCTAATAGACTGCTGCAGGGATGATGTATTTTTGTTGGCCAAAACATGGAAAGGAGTTTGCATTTTAGCACTTCTGGTTCAATCGTACTAAAGTCAATCGCCTGAAAGACGGTCTGTGGTAAACACAAGCTCAGGATATTTTCATGTTTTATTCTGTGATATTAAATACATCAGTAAAACCGCTTTGGGATTTGATTTGATTTGATTTTTTAAAGCTTTCACGTGTCTTGAAAATGGTTGCTAACAAGTGTCTAAATGGGACTACAGAGGTTGTTAGGGACATTACACATCATCAGACCAAACAGGTGAACTCATCTACTCATTAGTCTGCTTATACAGCCTCTTGAGAGTTATTCTAACTCAAACTTTCAAGCACATGTTTTTTAAAAAAAGCCTAAAAGAGTTGGCTTAGTGTTGATGACGTTGAAGTCATGTGACTGTGGTGTAGTTTGTTTATACCCTAGACTACATTTAGCTTTTTACTTCTGGCGGTTGGCTTCAAAATGTATAAAAGTTGTGTAATTTGTGAAGAATCACAATGAGCAAAAGGTACAGGAAACATAAACTTCTGTTGGTCACAGAACTTATTTTCTGCAATAATCTAAAATCCAGTAAAAAAAAAATCTTCTTGACTTTTTGTTGAGGGAACCAGGGTGATGCTAACTTCCAGACTGGCCTACAAAAATGTCTCGTCACTGCAGCACAGCGCTCTATACTTAGTGATGCTAATGCTGGTTTTCCCTCCAAAATGATGTCACTTCCTGTATGATGATGTCATTAAGGAACTGGTTTATGTTAGTTAAGGGATTTTGCTAACTGGATGGAAAGTGATATTGTGCACTCAGGACTCCAAACAGGAAACCAATATTCTCAAGAAATCTTTTTTTTTTTTTTTTAAATATTAATTAGTAAGTGAACAAATGAAGAAACAATTGGAATATTTCTTAATAAATTGCCTGTTTTTCTAAAAACTAGAGAATATGATTTTCATGTTGGGTACTGCAAATGTACTGCATAGCCAGAATGACGATGGTTTCTTCTGCTCTCCTCTGGCCTGTTCTGCTCGGGGTGCTGCCCATGGGAGCTCAACCGTGAGCTGTTCCTCCTTTAGAGATGAATGATGATTGGCTCTGACGTCCCATGTGTTACCGCGTCCCCATAAATCACACCTTGACTGGGATTTGGCTGTAGGGTGGAAAAGACGGAGCAGGTAGAACAAGAGAAGAAATATGTGCGATTTGAAACAAAGGTGACCTGTTGAATCGGAATTAGAAATCTGAAGACCCCACAGCACACACACAAACATTGAAATTTGTTACGGTGCCACTGACTGTTAAAAGATCAGTTTTTGAACTCTTAAATAACTAATTTCCCTCTCTCTTTAATTATAGGTTATAATATTAGACTTGTTATTTTGCTGCGCAGTTGCATAAGTAGCCTGCCTCCACACACACACACACACACACACACACACACACACACACACACACACACAC